TGTGAAATTCATTCCAGTCATTAGGAGATAACAATATTTTAAACAGAATCGGTAGGAAAATTCACGCTGCGTCGGCCGGCTGTTCCCGGTTGCGGTTTCCTTGAAAGAGCAACAGAAAAAGGAAGGAGAGAGAAGCGAGCGAGTGGGAGAACAGATTCGTCTAAAAATGAACCTGAAGCTGCTCAAAAGGCTTCTCCACAATTTTGTCTNTTCCCCCTTCCCTGAGCCTCTGTGCCGAGACGTGCCTGGCACCCGCCTTCTCGTCTCCTGTCTGGCTGTCTGGACGTGTGACTGGGATAGGGACGTAACTCTCTTCCGTCCCCTCTACCTCATCGCTCTTCATAATCCCATCCACGATGCAACGTACTGAATACACTCTCGTTTTCACCGGTCCATTCAAGCTTTCTATTGAAGCCTTCATACATCACGCTTTACGTATGAAATATCGAGTCGACTGCAAGGGATATTTTTACTTTATGAAATTTCATTTAGCAATGCATTGGCATTTTCCTCAATGGAATTGGGAGCTTTCTCGTCGGAAATTTACACTGTATGTGTCCAGCTGAATAGCATTTCTCATCATTCCCGCTGCTATCAGAATTAGTGGCAGATAGAAGCAACATGTGTTTTCCATATGGACTCCGTTTCTTTTTCTCTTTTTGAAATGGAAGTTTCAAAATTGGAATGAGTAAGTTACGGAGTTTCCATCGTTTTTTCTTTGCGAAGGAAGTGTATATTCCGAGGTGTACGAGGGGCACTAGGCTAGGGCTGTCGTTTGTCAGGTTGCTTTAGGCTGAGCCGGTTGATGTACAATCATTCATGAGGTTACCATATCTTTTTCAAATTTATTGGAAAAAATGGAAGGGCGCAGGAAACGAAAAAGTGAAGCTGACCTGCCAGCTTTTCTGGTCTTCTCAAAGGAAGAAGTCCGCGCGTTCATCTTGTACAACTTCCTCTCAAAAAAAAAGTGCTTCCGAGTGCCTCCATGATCTGAAAACGATTTGTAGGATTCAAGATCTGTCTCTGAGGACAGTCCAGAGGTGGTATTAGCAACATTCCAAGTGAAAACGTTGAAGCAATGTTTTATCAATGTTGTACAGCAACTTGCAACATAGAGCAACATAGGCAACATTTCGAAAACGTTTCATCAATATACTGTGTTACTTGGGTAGGGCTGTCGTTTGTCAGGTTGCTTTAGGCCGAGCCGGTTGCTCTCTTTTCTCCGTGATGTACAATCATTCATGAGGTTACCATATCTTTTTCAAATTTATTGGGAAAAAAATGGAAGGGCGCAGGAAACGAAAAAGGGAAGCTGACCTGCCAGCTTTTCCGGTCTTCTCAAAGGAAGAAGTCTGCGCGTTCATCTTATACAACTTCCTCTAAAAAAAAAGTGATTCCGAGTGCCTCCATGATCTGAAAACGATTTGTAGGAATCAAGATCAGTTTCTGAAGACAGTCCAGAGGTGGTATGAAAAATTTCGCAGTGGAAATTTTGACCGCCACAATCAACCGCCAGAAGGACGCCCAAAACCAGCGACCAATGAAAATGTCGCTGCTGTTGCTGCCCTCATCAAAAAAGATCCACGAATCACCTACGAAGTCATACAAAGGACCCTTGGGATAAGTGCTCCATCATGCAAAACAATCTTGAAGGAACACCTTGGCCTCTCAAAAAAATGTGAGCGATGGGTTCCACACTGCTTTAAGATCCACGAATCACCTACGAAGTCATCCAAAGGACCCTTGGGATAAGTGCTCCATCATGCAAAACAATCTTGAAGGAACACCTTGGCCTCTCAAAAAAATGTGAGCGATGGGTTCCACACTGCTTGACAGAAGAGCAAAAACGGCGCCGAGTGGATTTTGCAAAATTTTTCCTCAAGAAATTTCTGATTGTGATGTTAACAATTCAGATGATCCAGCCAGGTAAAGCCTTTCATGTATTTTCATGGAACATTTGCTAGCTCCTCTTTTGGCTTTTGTTTTCGCTTTTTTCCTGCTCATTGTATCTTATTCTCTTAGTAATGTGTTCCTGTTCCACTTGTGTTCGTGTTTCCAAGCTATATTCGTACTCCATTTGTTATCCACATATTCAATACATATTTATGGAGTCCAGGCCATGAACAAGCTCATATTCCTATCGAGAACCCTTTTGGAACTCACAAGGATTGAATCCGCAGAGGAGATCTAGAATATGTAGGGGACGTCCATGAAATCAATTTTATCACTTCCTCGACTTGGGAGAATGAGGAAATGAAGGACTGATGTCGCGGACGCATCATGGAACCGTAAGAGGTTTCTCTGACATGTACTGTAATCAGTACAATTAAAGATAGGTCAATGCCTGCACTGTACGAGAGGGAAAGGGACAGAGTATATAAGAATTTACGTATTTGCCTGACACCCCTATCTTTTCCTGAGGGGAGCGTTTTTACTCATGGAGGAGGAGAGCACATTTACTCATTGGTGATAGAGCAAATTCACTCCTTTCCCAGAGTGAAAGGGGAGTGAAACTGGAGTTCGCGATTTTACTCTCTTTTTAGAGAAAAATCTCTCCCATTTTTCTAGGAGTGTAGGAAGAGCTGTGCGCGAGAAGTAGGGATTTCATGCAAATTAGAATTTAAAATCTCGCATTTTCTATCCCTTTGGAATCAATAATTAATTTTTGTATAGTTGGATTCTTGATTCATAAAGGGATTATATGAAACAGATGTAAGAAAAACTGTATTTTTGGCTGGTGAAAGAAGAAAATAGACCCGTCAACATCATCATCATCATTCATCAATCCTTAGATTGGTTTGTCGCAGCTCTCCATTCCTCTCTCCGCTCTGCCATTCTTTTCATTTCTTTGTCGTTGTTGCAACCCACATCTTGTATGATCTTCGGGTATACCATAATCTAGGTCTTCCTCTATAATTCTTTCCTTCTATCATCCCCTCAATTATGGTCTTCAGCATCCCTTCATGTCTCAACGTGTGTCCCATCAGTCGGTCTCTCCTTTGTACTATACTATTCCATATCCTCTTTTTGTGTGCTCTTCCGAGTACCTCCTCATTTGTTGCTGTCCACCCAGGGAATCTTCACCATCCTTCTATAGCACCACATTTCCATCACCTCCAATCTTCTCTTCTCACCAGCCGCTATTGTCCATTATTCATATCCGTACAGTGCCACACTCCGTGCATAGGTCCTCAATAATTTCTTCCTAACTTCTAGGTAGACAGAACTTGATGTCAGAAGTTGACTCTTTTGGTAAAAAGCATTCTTTCCCTGTGATATTCTGCTTGATATTTCTTTCTACTTCGTCCATCCTTAATTATCTTACTTCCCAAGTAGCAAAATTCATCAATCTCCTCCAGCTCTTCCTTTCCCAATCGTACTTACAGTTTTCCCGTCCGGTTTCTTCCACATACCATCACCTTTGTTTTTTTTCTCCTATGTATTCTCATGTTGTACTTGCCCCTTAACTCTTCCCCCATTTCATTTTAAAATCTTTCTAAAATTTAAAATTGACCAAAAATATAAAAAATAATCAAGATTTTCAACAAAGGTGGCAGTAACAGAGATAGGCTTCGAAGAGGGTGAACGAATTCTCATTAAATTGACATGAAGCTGGTAAGGGACTTCCTAAGAGATCTAGTAGGATAACTTTTCAAATCCAGACTCATTTTTGAACAATGTCCTTCATCCTCACGTTCCTTCCAAAGAAGTGGGATTTTTTAGATGGATCATAAAATTTGGAGGGGGACGGTTGGGGTAAACTGCGCAACTCCGCAAAAACACAGACCTACACAGGCTGTCCAAATTTGGAGCATGCTTATCTCGATGAAAAATGTATGGGAGGAATGAGAAAGGAAAAACGGACACTTGTGATGAAGCATACTTTGTTATGACATCGTGGCATCTCGAGAACGACAGTCCATCTGTTTTATCATTTTAATTTATAATGTTATGTCCTAAGGAGAATATCGCAAATTAGACGTTTCTGCAACCAAGAGTTCGGAGGTATTGGATTTCAAAGGGTGGCATGTAAATCTTGACCTTTGACCTCAAATTGTGGCCTGGGCGTGACCTGATAGAGCCAGAATAGGCTCCAATACCCTTTTCTCGCGGTCCAGTAATACTAGTATAAATGGGATTTTCTATTGAGGAGGGTCGACTTTTATATTCTCGTAGAACCTTAAATGCAGCTCGAATGAAGATGAAGCTCCTAAAACACTGTCCTCTCAGCGTAATTTTCGTTTCTTTTAATGGGTAATCTGTGATTTTCATCTGCTCATTGAACCTTTGACTATTTCGTGAGGGTTTATCCAGTTATTCACGATTTTCTCCCCACTTAATTCCACGTGAAAATATTCCAAAAAAATGCCCTTCCGATATTTAGGTACCACCTCGATTTTGTATGCTACTTACACACGAATTGTATAATAAGTTTCGTACAGGAAGTTATTACTCATTGTTCAAAATATGTGAAATAACAATATTGACTCCACCATAGCTCCACCACTCCAGCATACCACTCCAGTATACCACTCCAGCGTACCACTCCAGTATACCACTCCAGCATACAACTCTACCACCTCCACCTGGAAGAGGCACCTCCAAAGTCAGATCGATGCAGCAAGGCGAGACCTTAATACCCTTCAAGAGATCAAGAAGGGGAACACATCCCGGAAAGTAAAATTGACCTACAAGCGGCTGTGCCCCAAGTAAAAAGATCACCTCCGATGCCGATCTTCCGACCGCCATAGAGAACGTGAAGATGAAGATCCAAGCTTGGGCCTTGAGGATAAGGCGGTACACGAAAAAGGTCAATTACTTCCGTCATAACGAGCGCTACATGAATAACCAGAAGCTATTCTACCGGGAACTGGGAGCGAAACCCATAGAAGTGAAGAAGATTCCTGGCAAGGCGGAAGTGGAATAATNAAAACAAGATCTCTGCCCTCAACAGCCTTGCCACCCCTGTCCTTAACTACAGCTTCGGAGTTATCGATTGGTCACCTACGGAACTCCAAGCCATCGATCGAGCGACCAGAAAACTCCTGACCATGCATCACACCCACCATCCGAAGGCTGCCGTTGAGAGACTCTACCTTCCGAGATGCAAGGGAGGGAGGGGACTGATCGAACTCGAGTCCCTCTATAAGCGGACGACGTGCGAAGTCGCCAGATACATTGAACGGAAGCAGGGAAGACTCATTTCCATCCTTAGAGAACGAGATGCCCTGAAGAAGTCCCACTCCATCCAGGGAGATGCCACCCGCTTCCAAAATGCACTCCATCTCCCTGACGACTGCGACACGAAGGATGTGAAGACGGCAGACCAAGGACAAAGAGAAGCACGATGGAAGGAGAAACCGCTTCACGGCCAGCATCCCAAGATCATGGATAAACCATCGATCGACTCGGACGTCAGCTATAACTGGCTGAAGAAGGGACTGCTGAATGCCGAGACAGAGAGCAACATCCTAGCCATTCAGGACCAGTGCATTAGAACTCGCAACTATGAGAAGCACATCCTGAAGCTGGATGTGGAAGACCGCTGCAGATGCTGTCACGGACCACCCGAAACGGTTCACCACCTCCTCAGTGCCTGCCCCGAACTAGCCCCGAGGGAGTACTTGTACAGGCACGACCAAGTGTGCAAATATGTGCATTGGTGTGCCTCAAAGAAAGCCGGCCTGGAAGTCCCAGAAAAGTGGTACGAACACCAGCCAGAGTCTGTTGTGGAGAACGCCTCCACCAAGATACTTTGGGACATGCCTATAATTACGGACCGCAGTATAGGCTGCAATAGGCCGGACCTCACGATCGATAAGAAGAAGATGACCGCCCTCCTCGTAGATGCGAGCATCCCAACTGATAACAACCTCCAAGAGAAGACCAGGGAGAAGCTGGAGAAATACTCCGAATTGAGAGTGGAAGTGAAACATTTGTGCGGAATGAAGACCACCATAGTTCCGATCATCACAACTGGTGTCGTCCTGAAAGACCTCAAAGGACACGTCAGGAAGCTCAAAGGACACGTCAGGAAGCTGGAGGGTGAAAATCTCACTGGATATCCTTCAGCGTACAGCAATCTTGGGCACGGCCAGCATCGTTCGGCGTGCCCTTCAGAATTAGGCGAGTATGAGGTCTGGGATGTGGTTCATCCCTCCTCATATCTCCAAAATACCGGCAGGTGCCGTGGAAGGATTTATTTATTTATTTTATATATGTTACTGTTGCTACGAAGGTTACTCCACAAAACTGGCTGAATACTTGAACCAATGTGTAATGGCAATCACGAGTCTAAAAAGACTTGCGCATTATTCGAGTCATTTTCGGCAAGACTAAGTGTGAACGCCCAACGCAGTCAATAATAAAAGGGGAATGGAAGGCTAATCGTTCGTATGCACCAAACGAATATTGTAGTAGGAATTAATTAAATATCCTGCAGCATCTGTTTTGTTCAATATATGCTTACATATATTAACTTACATCATGATAAATTGTCTATTCCATGTAGTATGGGCGATCATTAAACTAATATCAACACATTGAAACTCCTCGGTTTGACTCGAAGTAATATATTTTAGGTAAAATCTAAGGAACGAGTACTGTACATTTAGATATTAGCCACCAATATCCCTTTGGTAATCCCAAACATTTTTATTCCTCCCCCCTCGATCTCGAATAGGGTTGGGTGCTCTGCTGCAAATATATTTTCAATTTAAGATCTTGATTGCGAAAGGATGTGATTCGATTATTTGAAAGACACTCAAACATCACAGCTCATTTCAGTGACATGGTGTATCAATGAATGAGGCTACCATAAAATGCATTCCGACCTGATAATGTATCATAAAGTCCCCACCCTATTTTGATTAGCTATAACATTTTAAGGGGCAGATTCAGCTGATATTTGACAGAGGCGTTCATGAGTCAAGGATACCTTTTCCATGCCGAAAGGTGGCGTTGATTGAGGGCGCTAATGTCGACCGCAGCGCAACCTACCTACTTGCTATGTCATTTTTCAGATATGAGGAAAAAACCTATTTGGCCAATGAGACTCTGCCAAATAGCTGAATTTGACGGTCCCTTGAAAAGTTATAGCTAATCAAAATAGGGCGGTGACTTTTAAAAATCAAACCTTTGGTCATGATTTTTAAAGGAATAGTTAGATGCAGCTGTTATTTGACAGAGATGTGCATGGGTCTATGATTTATTCGTTACTTTGCCCGGCACATGGTTGTACATGTTGGCAGTTGGCGTTGTGGAGGCATAAGCAAAGGCAAGTGATAGAGAACAGGAATTGGCTAAAAAAAGAATGTCTAGCATTCCCACCAATCCAGGGAAAAGATGGCGAAACTCTCAGTGCAGCAACTTCTCAGGTTGATATACTGTGACTGCGTAATGAAAAAAAATCAAAACTATGCATATGCGAAGGTGAAATCTGAAGGAGCACGAGGGTTCTGCTTACAATCACAGCGCCCCTGTCAATATGAACAAATACGTGCCGGGCAGGTGAACGAATACGTCATTTCCACTTAGGGACATCTCTTTCAAATACAAGCTACATCTGACTATTTCTTAAAGAAGTTATGACCAAACAAAGTTAGTTACAAGTCACTTCTAATTTTGATTAGCTATAGCTTTCCAAGGAACAGTCAGATTCAGCTGATATTTGGCAGAAAAGCTCATGGGCCAAATAGGTTTTCATCTTCATGCCTAAAAAATGACAGCAAATTAGTAGGTGGCGCTGCGATTGACATCAACGCCCTTTATCGGTATGCAATGTCATATTGTGGCATGAGAAAAAAATATGCTTGACTCATGAACCTCTCTGCTAAATATCAACTGAATCTGAATGTCCATTGAAAAGTTATAGCCAATCAAAATTAGGAGTGACTTTATGATAAACCCCCCGTCACGGTCCTGTCATTTGGCATCTTCGAATATCTCTATTTTAATATCTCAATATTTGAAGTGCCGGTTCTCTGTGTGAATCACAGAGAATGAACCTAAATAATGCGAGTTTTTTTTTTAATAATATAATAATGAGAGTTATAAGAGTTTTCTTTGTTTTTCTAGATTTTTCTGATGAATCTAACTTAGTTACTCCGAAGAGACTACCTAGTCAATTTTCACTGTGCTAATGTCTCCAATTTTTATTTAAACTAAAAGAAATGGTTCTCCCTTTCACCAAGTAAACATGTTTAAACTTACTTGAACTTTGTGACCATCTACCGAATCGATTGCTTCTTCCTCGCTGGGATCATGTTGAGAAGTTTTACGAGTTTGGGCAGCTTCTGAATTAATAGTTCCTATGCTTTCTCCTTCAACTCTGAGAAATGTTCCGTCCTCTCTCATATGCTCACGTATTTCCTGCAATACTTGGACACGTTCCATCCATTCTTGCTTTCTTTGTAGCGTTTCTGACGAAATCAAAAGATCCATGTAGTCTGTGATGGGAATGGGGTCAGGCTTCATCGTGTTGTCATGCAACATGCAGAGTTTCTGATGGGCATCCTTTACAAGATCTAGAATCTCCGACTGGATTTCTGCACATTTTTGGCTAGAGGCTTTCTTTAATTGTTTCACATTCACCTTTCCTTGAATACCTTCCCCGTAGGAACGCTTTAGGTATTCTAGAGTCTTGGTTTCCTTCACGATGTGCTTCTCCAAATAATGTGTACTGATGACATGCTCTTTCCAATGGCACTTGAAAGGACACACATTGCAATGGCCACTTTGAGGGCCAAATATGTCGCATTCTGCTTTTCGATAATCATGCTGTATACTGCAAGGAAAGTGACAAGTGAAATTGCATTTCAGACAGTTCGTGGCACATTCGCCGTTCATCAAATCGACCTTCATATCTTCAATAACTCTTGATTGGAAGGCGAAGTTTTCATCGGAATTTATTTCTTCATTCCTCTTTTTAATTATTGCTGCTTCTTCCCTGAGTATAATCATCATATTTAGAGCTAGAAAATAAGGACACAAGTTCGATCTTTTAAATGATGCAATGCAGCGAAAAAGTACATTCAATCAAATCTGGTGGACTGCTCTGATAAATGAATAGACAAAATGGACCGATTTTTTAACGTTTGGACCACCCGTTACATTTTCTTCATTGTTCTAAATAATATTTTCTTTCCACTAGCTCAACACATCGACAGGCATAAATATTGACATCAAATACTTGACATAAATTACGGAAAATTATGGGGCTCAGGTGTGTCTATTACGGGAAATGGAGTATACTAAATGAAACCACTACATTTTCCCAAACATTACAGATTCCATTTAAATAGATTCCAAACACTCTATATATTCGATATGTAAAGAGATGATTCATCTTAACATATGCACACATAGAATGAATGCATAGCATGAATCAGAATGACTGTCCCTTGACTATACGATACTAGAGAGTTTGCTTGCCCTTCGGGTAAACAAACTCGCTATGCTCGCGCCTTCGGCGCTCGAACCTTGGTTAGTGATTAATTCATTTCTTTTTGCGAAATAGGAAACACGCGTTTTAAGTACGTCTTCATTGAAATACGTGGCATATGGGGACGAAAGTCTTCATTTTTATAAAAGTCGTTACTTCTATTATTTATAGTGGGCCTAACTTGAAATCTTTTCATGTGTCCCTTTTTGTGAGGGTGGAGAATACATTTTGAAATACTTCCCTCATATAATATACGCTAAGGGGACATATTTCAAATGTAGAAATTTTCCTGGACTCAGCAATCAAAAAGGTAATTTTTGAGGGATCTGATCATTCTGAGGGTAGTTCTGAGGGTAGTTAACATTTTCTGTCTTTGTTGTGTTTGCAGACGCAGGGAACTCCATGTCACACAGTTTCAGCCTTATACGTTTCCTCTTTATGCTTGCGGAAAAAAATGTATTTGGAAAAGCGACGCATCCAAAAGATGTGCTCTGAGGAGACGCACACCAAAAGTTGACTTTTTCCTTAAATCAACATCACGCCCATTATGCGTGCGCCGACTGCTACTTTTCTATTTCTGCCCGAGTCACTGGGATATGAAAAATTCTGCGAAAACTTTACGTCCCCAAAAAATATGCACCAAGCATATTTTGGAAATTTGACATTTGACATTTGAGCTCAATGCTTCAGGAGTCACGTTCTTGCCAGGTTTCAGCTTTCCATGTCTCTCTGTTTCAATGAAGCAAAGAAAACTATTGGAAAATATTTTTCCCGAAAAGGTGTGCCCCTATGGCATGTACCACCAAAGTACAATTTTTCCTCAACTCAGCATGTGTATAGCGACTCATGTCAGTCAGTCAGGTACTCACAATTCTCCATATATAATAAAAGTAGATTTTTTTCTTTACTCACCTATTCATCAGGTTCTTCTTTGGGAAGTTTAAACTTTATAGCGCCCTTTGTTTTGCTTGATCGAGAAAATACGCCTTTAGGAATATATGTGCCCCCAGGCGTTTTAACTGAAATATATATATATATTTTTTACTGAAATCAATACTGAGAGAACTACATGGCCACAAGTTTTCAACCTTTTACGTTTGCCCTTTTCGTTGGAGAAAATATATGTTTGAAAAAGCCGACGCACCCAAATGCTTTTCGGATATTTTATGAACTCTGCACCCCAGTAGGTAAATGTGCACCATGTGTGTTTCAGATTTCTAACTTCTGCAGAATATGGTTAGAATTAGCGTCAGTCAGTCACGATCGTCTATAAATATTAGATACTTTATTCCACTCACCATCATGGATACGATTCTGGATCCCTTGAATGGTTGCTTCAAGAGCCTGTCTCTCCTTCAATACTTCTTTGCTCAACTGGAGACTCAGAGGAGTAGATTTCTGGAATTTAGAAAAAAAAAACAGAGAAACTCCTTGCGCCCAGTTTCCAAAACATGGAATCAAATCGGAAATCTTGGCTGTCTTTCTCATCGTTGGGCGAAAACAAGGCCGAGTTATTGAAGCGAAATGATTCCACAAATGGTATGTTAGCTTCCTTGACTGCCTCTAGAACTGGCGGGGTCTTGCTATCTGCAAATGTAATCATTAGGTAAATGTTGTTGACGACATCCTTCCCGAAAGTAGAGATGAGAGAGTCGAATATATATTTCTCAGTTGGGGTCAACCTGGCGTTAGATGCCTGAAGCACAAACCCGATCCCATCTATATGATTTAAACCTTCCGAATTAGTTTTCATGACAAATTTCTGCAGCTGGGTCATGACACTCCTGTCCGCAGCTAATCCTTTTGTGTCTCCGAATCCAGGAGTGTCGACGACGGTCAGGTTGTAGGGGGCTCGGCACCCATCTTGCCAGGGGAAGGTGTACGCTGTTATCCAGGACGTTTGACTCTCAGCCTTTGACTTCCTCGTTTCAGTGTTGGGGATCAATACCAAACGAAAGGGGTCCTCCCAATCCACGCCGTAGAAGTGATTGACAAATGCATTCACCAGAGTACTCTTACCTGCTCAGAGAAAGAAAAAAAAATCATGAATGAGTTTCCAAAAATAATAACGGAATTCAATAAGTTAAAAGGGGAACCTCACCTGCTCCACTGGCGCCGATAAGTATAATATACTTGTCCTCTTTTTCGTCGTGGACAGAGTCGAAGGACAGCTTACATTTAGCTGTTCGGCTTCCCATGTCTCTCATTACATCCTCGGCATGAATTTCATACAATGCCATTTGTCCTAGACCCCTGTGACTTCCCTTTTGCTTCAAATATGCTGAAGGTCTGGAGAAGCCTTTCGGACCTGTCTTATTTCCTTTGTGATGGTCAGGAGTGATAGTGTGTACTGATACACGATTTTCAGAGCGAAGAAACATGTATTCATCAAGGATCCTGGGAATCTCGTCAGTAGGTTTTTCCACAGTACTCAAAAGATGACCAACATTCGCAATCAAGCCTTCTTTCGTTGTAATTAAATTAAGGAGACCTTGCTTGATGGAGTCATTTTCTGCTCCTAGCAAATCCTTAGGTCTCTGCCCGTTCTCTTCAACGGTCTTCCTCTTCCCTCCTTTTTCCTTTTTGGCGTTGTCTCTTCTTTGTTCTTCAGCTTCTTCCTCATCGGATGTCGAGTCGCTCATAGTTATATTTTATCATTTTTCCTGTCCTTTTTTTCTCCTGGCACATTGCCCTGGTCTCGGCTGGATGGCGACAATTTCGCATTTACCTGTGAAAAAATAAACTCAATTCTACAGGATGTTCCTAAAGCATATTTCCTATTTCGAACGTAAATTCAGTATATAAGAAACTAATAGACATTCACAATGCAGCTTGTTCTATCTTGCAGTACGACGCAAAGAATATTTATTGACTACTGTTTTCTTCCACGTGAAACGTAGTGCTCCAGTAAATAGAAAAGCCATACAAATCCACACAACACATTGCGGCGCAAGGTGACCGTGCAAGAGAAGGCTCTAGGCGTTGTGTGGCTTGCAGAGACCAAGTCGATGACCGTAGTGCAGCGTAATTACAGACGGCGTAATTACAGACGTAATTACAGAATTACAGGAAACGTCCGTCGAAATTGACAATCCGGAAGTGGTTGAAGGTGTTTTTAGAGACAATCGCTACAGCGACCGAGAGGTGGACGGCCCTCTGTCAATGATGAGCGTGTCGACAAAAGTGCGCAAATCGTTTCAGCACAGTCAACGAACTACAAGATGGTGGAAATGGCATTTTTTATGTTTTCAAAATAGGAAAGATAATATCGGAACACCTCGTATATACCATGTTCAATATATAATGTTTTAAGTATGCATACAGTCATTACAACAAAATAACTCGCAAACACTCCCGGTATAAAGTAATGTGAGCATTCATTTTCATTGGCTATTCCTTTTTTGAACCCACCCACCTTTGCCTGCAGAACTCATTACTATTAGGCCTAGGCTTAATCAACAGACTGCCTCCACTTTACGCAAAGACCTACATTTTTTTCTTTCAATAAAAATTCTATGTTAGACTCATTCATCCCAAATCGGGTGAATCCATTGTCTTCGAGACATTTTGTTGAGGACATGTACCGTTAGGCCAATCGGAGGCAAATTCATGTGTTCATGAACTATTTCAGAGAGGACATGCAACAATAGACCAATTTGAGGCCTGCTTCGCGTTTCATGAAACATTTCAGTGAGACGTGAACGTTAGGCCTATCTGGAGTTCCTCGAACCACCTCGAATACATCTGAGAAGGGTATGCCCCCAGGAACCATGCAATCCATGGTGCGCGTCATCAACTTTATTCAGGGATGTCTGGAGAAGATATCTCCATATCCCACCACATCTGTCAATCGTTGCTAAGCACTGTTTCATTCTCAGTCCATCCCATGAACTCAGCACAAAAATGCCTCATTCATTAAAAAACATAAGAGCCAGGCGCCGATACGAATTTTGAAGTAGTCATGAATATGTCATACATTTGGCACGATATGCTGCAAAACTGGGGGACAATACCGGAGCCAGCAGTGTAAGTCTAATTAAATGAAAATTAATGTCACTTTTCATGGTGCATCGCTAACAACAAAAAGGCCACTTTTCATGATCTACCAGTCAATATCTTTCTCATAGTTGATCTCTCTCCTCCGAAAATCCCCCAGGAGTGGCTACCGAAAGGGAGGGAGAAAAAAAATGGAATAAAAACTACATCTTTAGAAAGCGAGATTCAGCGTTCTCCACAACCCCGGGGAGATATAGCTTCAAATTAGCTGTAGCTATTCTTTATTAATGGAGGTAGAAGCATGCCAAACGTAAAACTTCTTGATGCTCTCAGAGAAGAATACGAGGAAGTTGAGTTTTGCTACAGGAAGGGATGGAAGAAAGGTAATAGGGGCTACCGCTCCCATTGATACTAGAGGGATCTCATCCAGAGTAATGCATTTTTTCATGATTAACTGGCTAACATATTATCGTATTGTTTTCTCTCTTCAAACCTGACCTGATTAGTCAAAATTGCACCAAAGATACAATCGAATGCAAAACATTAAGTTGTTTTCCCAGGCAGATGATCATGTATTGATTGACAAGTACGAAGGGTGATTGAAAAGGTCTCAGCCTTGAGGCACTTTCAGTAACAGTGCACCATTCTTATTTTTCTGATGAGAATACTATTGTCCTCAATGGTCATTGTAATATGTTCATATTTATTAAATTGATTAAATATATATTCCATTATTTTTTTTACATGGTCAAAGGGTCTGCTGAAACGGTGTTAAAATTGAGAAGAATGCCTTTTCTAGCTTCCAATGAGTATTTTTTCTAGCTGATCTGGTAGAGAAGGGTCACTAGCACTTCATACTCTCTACTATCTAGAGATCTACAGACCCTTGGGTATCACGTGGAAAAAAATTAATGGATGCTATATTTAATCGACGAATGGGATGAAAATTTTCCAATCACCATCGAAGACAGCAGTCTTCTCATGAAGAAAGTAAGAATGGAGTACTGTAACTGGAAGTGCCTCAGTCCGAGAACTTTTCAATCACCCCTCGTATGAAGGGAAAGTAGTGCGGGTATGCGCTTAAAGCAAGATACCAATCAAAGTCACTTGATCCAACATTCATATTCATTTCAAAATATAATTATTATACCTCGTTGGAGAAAGGATATTAGTTCCTAAACATTGTATATAGTAAAGTCATATGGTGAAATCAGGCTGTGCATAGTATTGAATCTCATTCATATTCTCTTTCCATCGAATCAAACAACGCATGCAACAATCTGTATTCATTCCTCTCCAATCACTAGTTGCAGGGAGTTTTTACTTGGAGCGGATGATGACGCATCTTATGGAAACTGTAACGAATTTCCATGAGTGAGAATATGATATTTACCTATGCTCACTGAGAAAGCACATTGGCATGTTGGTCGGATGATAAAACAAGCACCTGCTTTCCTTTCATGCACATGCCTATGAACTAGATTCCTTGTAAAAAAAATAGATATGGTGAAGAAGATCTGACTAACCAAGTGGTGCAAAAGTTGCTTCATCATTTCCTGGTTGAAATGAGGATGCGGCAAATCCCTCCTGTCCTATCGAATGAGAGTGAGGAAGAAGATGCAATGTACATATAAACGAAGGCAATCAAAAGACAAATGCAATGCGGGAAGAAATAGGATCATGTTACCGGAAGCGGAATGTCTGCTGGAGATGGAAATGCTTGAGCCCCTTGGAGAATCGATTCATTCCTTTATGAACAAAGGAGATGTTCACAGAAAGGAATTGTAGAATTAATGGCCGAACTAGGTCATTATGTACCTCATTTATACTGGTATGAAAATGAAAACTTACCGTAAAGCACTGTAAAAGTTCCCGTAATGCTGTGGATCTTGATTCATTGAATGCGCTATTGGGGGCTCATGATACCAATCTGGAATATATGCCATAGGGGCCGGAAAGTTGGGTTGCAAGTGTACTATGCCACTACAAGCATGTTGCATGAAGGGACTGTTGTATTCCCTGGGCATGTCCAGTCTTGAAAATCCAGCTTGCGGCATTTGAAGTTCTTCCAAGGGGAAGTGCATACCATACCGTGGTGGAGGCTGGCGGTATATGTCGTAATACGGAGATTGTCCTTGCCATTGTGGGTTCATAATATGATGCGACTGTACTTGGGGCAAAGTAGTGTGAGGAGGAAGTTGACATTCTGGTCGGAAATTGGATTCACTGAACACTAATGTCGGAACATTTTGAGATGTGTCCGTAGTCGAAGCGGTCCCATCGGTATTCAACATGCCCTCTCGACCTTCATTCCGCTTCATTCCAGAAGGATGTACGCGTTTCCAATGCTTCACCAACCCCAAAGTTCCGAAAAAGCACTGCTTCAAAGAATAAGTAAGTAAGTGAAAAGCAAAAACAGTAAGTGAAAGCAAAAACCTCTGAACTATTCATGATGCAATAGTCTAATCAATACTTGCAAGAAGTAAGCTGAAAAAATACTGATGCGAAATAGGTAGGCCCTGCTAACTACTCAAGGCCATGAAAATCCCATATTATAATAAAGCGAATCACTGTCGAGCAGATATAATATGATAATACTTATCACTCAAAACGGAATGGGAAAACATGGATCAATTCTGTGTTTGTCTCGCGTATTATTATGGTTTATTGATGGTCAGTTTATACTGCTTACCAATCTTAAGTTCATTCCCAGATGGGCAGGGAGTGAAATTGCTTCAACCAAAAGAATAAACACTTTCTTGACAATACTGGTTAATTCTTGACTTGAATTTCTTGACATTGCTGGAATAATTTCCCTGAAAGATTCGGGAAATTATTCTCATCAATGTAGTCGACAATACCCGACGAAGGTCACTTCCATATGGATTACAAGTGCAACTGCTTTTGCAGTTGAATGGTCATGAGGTTAAGACTCTGGTGGCGGTCTTCTTTCAAAAACAAACAATATACAGCATAGCTTTCATCAGTTGAAAGGAAGTGAATTAAATGACATGATTCAAGTTAAACAGCCCGATCATGACAAGGAAATTGGATGAACTGTGAATACTCAATTTTACTTTTTAAATGTGAAGTGAAGAAGCAGTAGCCGAGAAAAGAACCTCTCACTGTGGTTACCAATGAAACCCATCTCTGAGGCAAAACCCAGGAAAGTGGCGTTTTAAAAGAAACAGCCACATAAACGTAGAATCAACTTTAAAAACCGATTTCTTAATGCAATATTATTTTGTGATCAACTTCGATGGAATAGCTGAAGAAGGATATTATGAATCTATTTGATTTTAACCCTAATCTGGCCAATTTGTTCAGTGTGTCCCATTTTGTACTTTGACATCTACGTTACTCCTTCCATTTCCGCACGAGGATTAAAATAACTCCACCCATTATTTCCCATAGTCTCATTAACGCCCAGTATATCATAGGAGTTTGCTCAATATATTGCAATTTATACCTTAAAAACCAATTCAGTGAGTCATATATCAGAAGATATATGACTCACTGAATTGGTTTTTAAGGTATAAATTGCAATATAGTGAGTTATATATCAGAAGATAGGCATATTACTAGAAATGAAGAAGGCCAATCTAATATGCCTTTCATCAGGTATTGCCCTCAGGATTTTCAATTATTTCATATCCATTGATGATGTTGGAGATAAAGGGGATATTCTCAATGGCAGCCTCTGCAGCTTTGATTTCATTTTGTTCATTCACCCAACATTGACATCCCCCACTTCTGTCTCATTTCCCCAGAAAGAGCAATGAAACATCTACAATTAAACTTCGTTTTTTCTCACATGTTCCCATATTTTCATTACATACCTAATTACTAAGGCAACAGAACAGAAACAAAAATGAAACTTTTATGGAAAAACAATTGTTGCTGTTTCAAAATGTTATCCAAGTATTAACCATAGATACACAATTACAGATGTCACAGAAAAACACGTCCATACCCGTGTCGTGTTCGATGCCTGCATAGCTGTCATAAGCTGAATTCCGTTGACCCAACATTCATTGGGTTTTGAGCAAGAGAAGGAATCTGAATAGTAACACATCGCGTCGGCCGGAGCCACACCATTGTAATGGATATTCCAGCCAGACTAGAATAGATATATACCTAGGTAGAGCTCCTATACCGCCCCATTTTGCCCCCTCACAGTCACTCTGGTTTGTCCCATCAGCACCGTCTATAATAAAGGCACTGTCAAAGAAAATGTGAAAAATGCAAAAAATGATGACTTCATGCAATAGTTCGCATTTTCACCTTCAGGCAAATAAAATATCGGACGCCTCCAATGTCCCCATGTTACTTTCTTTCGCTCATGAAAAACTCGAAGCAAAATCAGAAAAGTCTATGCTTTCTTATTTTTCTCGTGTGTTTAAAAACTACTTCAGAGAGCGCCGCCGTGCCTGAAAATTTGCAACGGTCGTGGGCGGGTTATAATATGGTAAATAACCGGTAGATATCGGGTATGGTCTGGTTAAAATATGCGTTGCCCCGTTTTGCCCCTTGCCTCATTTTGCCCCACCTTCCCCTCCTCTTCGATAGAACTATTTTTAAAATTCACCTAAACTAATTATCCAGTCTGTAAGGAGATTCCTTGTGAAAAGCCATATTACCCCAAAGGCCATATTCCCCCAAGTTGCCCTATGGCCCAAGCACATGCCACCCATGGCCCATGGATGCATGTGTGGACTGATATACTTGGCCCTAGCTTTTAACACGCTAACCTCGGAGGTAAGCCCTACTAGGCGCGTGGATAAATTGCTGACTGGGTAATATCACATATTAGAGAGTTTGTTACATGTTTTTGGGGAGAGGACGGGAACGTGTACGATTTACTACACTATAAAAAATGCCGTAAATTTGCAACCAATAGGTTGGAAACATTGCTGCCTGCTTGTGACCGTAAAATGACATTTACGATGCCATGGTGGAAAAATAATTCCGCTTATTCGTGAACATTAAGATTTACACGAAGAGCAAGAAACTTGTGAGCCCGGGAAGAGAGGGAATGTGAGTTTACAGGTTCTATGGGTAAAGAAGATAATCACATAAATACGGGAATTTTCCGGTTAAAACCCGGAATCTCCTCTTACAGTTCCAAGGGGAAAAATCCGCCAGGTACACTAGAGTGTGATTCCTCTTATTAGGGGAAAGCCGGTTTTACATGAAAGAGGGGAAATTCCTCATTCCTGCCAGACTCGGAAAAATACCGGCTAATCTTGGAAGGGCCTTTTTCCCTCAAGAGACCGTAATTTTCAAACGGAAAAGGGAAATCTTGAGACCCCGAGCAGGAGAATTTTCACCCTATTTGTGGAGTACTTGGAGTTTTTTAAAGTATTTTCACGTATTGCATGTTAGAATCATGCATTTCGTCACATAGAATTCCGACATTAAGAAAAGAAACCAGAAAATATTATTTTTTTTATTTCGTTCCAAAATGCAATGTTCAAAAGACGTGTCCTAAGACTTCTATGCTTCGCCTTTCGTATTACGCATGCGCTGGAATCAAAAGACAATTCAACAAGTTTTGACGATTCCTTACAATCTATTTGCACTGCATGGAATCACGTAAGAATAACAAAGAATACGAAACGAAATGGTAGGATGGGCATCAGACGACTATCTCTCATCCGCCCATTCATGCTTCGAACGTCATCCATGATGGTATTCAGTTGACAGGATCTTTTCTTCTTGCATTTGGTGGACATTCTTGCCCCCAGTAGCTCCGGCTGGATTTTCGCCATGTTCCTATATAATAGAGAAGAGACACACTTGATAGATCATACTATGCATGTGTTTTTCGGGGAAATTTAATTTCGGGACTCAGCCCTAATTTCACTGCTCGGACAAGCAACTGAAAATTCGTTAACCTGAACGTGATACACACCTGAGTCGTCGTCCTCCCGTTTTCAAAAAAATAAATCCTCAGCGAGAAGCCACATGTGACTGGCGTGACCTTCAGTTCTTACCTCCCATCTACCTCCCTTTTTGGCCTCGCTCTCAGGGTGTTAGTTCATGATCTTTCAGCTTTTCCCCCCACCCTCAGGGGAGATAGAGATGAAAGAACAGAGAGATACTTAAGCCCCCTCCCCCCCTTGACGGCGCCAATGCGTTGGAATATTCAAGAATACTTTTCAATATCCCCCTAGTCACCTAGCGAACGTTCTTTTACTAAGCCCAGTACATTTAGCAGTTACAGTCCCATTACAAGAAAAGAAGTTCAAGCGAAATCTGCAAATGGACATGGTCAGGAGAAGCCTCCTTTTAATATCTAAGATATGATAAGCAGATCACATTCCTTACTAGCAAACAAACTCGCTAAGGTCGCGCCTTCGGCGCTCCAATACCTTGGATAGTGATTAATTCATGTCTTCTTTCAGAAATGGCAAATACGTATTTAAAGTACGTCCCGATTGAGGACGAAAGCATGAATTTTTTAAAATCAAAATCATTACTTATGTTATTTCTGGTGTGCCTAAATTTAAATTTTTTCATGTGTCCCTTTTTGTAGGGGTGAAGAATTCCGTTTTCCAATACTTCCCTTCTATAATCTACGCCAATGGGCCATATTTCAAAAATAGGATTTCTCCTGTACTCGGCCATCAAAGTGGTACTTCTAAGGGAATTTTACATTTTCTCTCTCTGTTTCGTTGGATCAAAAAAAAATTCAGGAATATGGGACTTTAAGAAAGTGCCCTGATGTGATTTTTTTTTTCTTATGAAATGTAAAGTCATGGAACTACATGCCACCCAGTTTCAGCCTCATTCGTTTTTCCTTTTACTGGCAGTAAAAAATATATATTTGGAAAAGCGACTCACCCAAAAACTGTGCTCTGAGGAGACGCACAGGAAAAGTTGAATTTTTCCCTAAATCAACATCACGTCCGTTATGCGTGGGCAAGCAGTTACTTTTCTATTTCTGCCCGATTCGCTAGGAAATGAAAAATTCTTTCAAAACATAACGTCCACAAGAAATATCCCCGGCCAAAATTCCAACATTTTGGAAATTTGACATTTTTCAGTTTCATTTTGAGCTCAGTGCGTCAGCAGTCACGATCTTGCTAGGTTTCAGCTTTCCATGTGTCTCCCATTGATTGAAGCAAAGAGAACTATTTGGAAATATGGTCCTTGAAAAGGTGTGCGTATGGCTTGTATCACCAAAGTAGAATTTTTCCTGAACTTAGGGTGCGAACACCGACTTGTGTCAGTCAGGTACTCACGATCCTTTATACTGTATATAACAAAAGTAGCATTTTCATTTACTCAGCTATTCATCAGGTTCTTCTTTTCCAATTATAAACTTTCTAGCGCCCTCCGTCTTGCTGGATCGAGAAAATAAGCCATTCACTAAATATGTGCCCTCAGGCGTTTTAAAAGAAAATTACTTTTTTTAATCACCGAAATCAATCCTCAGAGAACTACATGCCCACAAAGTTTCAACCTTCTACGTTTGCCCTTTTCGCTGGTGGAAAAACTTACTTCGAAAATCTATCTCACGCAAAAGGTATGCCCAGAGGGGATGCACCATGAAAGCTGAATACTCCCTTAACTCAATAATATTATGTCAATGCTACGTGAGCCAGGTTTCACCTTTTCATTTCTGTCCAATTCGCAAAGACAAAATTGTTTTTTTAAACATCGCCCCTCGAAAACATTTCCCAGGTGATGTATCGAGATTTAACATTTTTATTTAACTCTTGGTCTCAGTAGTCACATTCATGCAAAGTTTCAGCTTTCTATATTCATTAGTTTAACTTATGCAAAAAAATTAGTTGAAACCATCTCCCTTTGCAATTTGTTCCCCTGGGGCATTCACTTGCAAAGTCTAAAGTTTTTTGCAACATTCCAATGGGTAGTTATGTACCAGGTTTCATCTTTCCACACCAGCTCAATAAGCCAGGGGATAAAAAAAATACATGAAAACGTCGGCCCCTAAGAATATGGCCCCACAAGGCATGGAACTTAAATTTAACATTTTTCCTGAACTCATCGTCTCGGTAGGCACGTCCATGCCACGTTTTAGCTTTCCATGTCTTTCCGTTCTATTCGAGCAAAAATAATGTTATGGAATGGGAATGAGTAACGGGACATGAAAGGTAAAAAAAAAAGCCAAAAGACAGCCAAAGAAATTACCGGGAATTGAACCCGGACCTTCTGATTACCAGTCAGAGATGCTACCACTACACCAACGAACCCCAGACATCCAATTGGCTCTCTTAATGTCATCCTCGTCTGTCACAAAATATATTGAAGAAAAACGTTTGCCCCTAAATTTTGTTCCCCCAAGGCATGTACCTCCAAAGTCGGATTTTTTCTGAACTCTGCATCCAAAAAGGTACATTTATACCAAGTTTCAGGTTTCTAACACTTCTAGAACATGGTTAGAATTAACGTCAGTTAGTCAGTCAGTCAGTCACGATCGTCTATATATATGTTAGATTATAAGTTCTAAGATTTGGGATATCATTTGCTAAGAAATTTTATTCTACCGATTCGTCCCTCCTCTGAGTATACCTACTTCACTAAGGGAAATAATTGAAAACAAGACGTATGCCTATGTACTGAGAAAAAATATTGCACTCACGATAAATTCATGAAGTCGCTATATGTGCACTTGGGAGATGGATGAAGCCACTAACACGGTATACAGGTCGATACAGTACCACGGCTGGGGCGAGATGAGGTTAAGGGACATCACGACAGTGGATGGCACTTTCTTTTTCGCGCCACTTCCATTGTCCCCTTCTCCTTCTCCTCTTCCTCCCTCCTTCTCCCCTTTCCCCGCCCCTTAATATTGTCTCTTAGCGTCTGCTTGAAGTGTAAGATGGATACTTTTGCTGTAAGTTAGACATAATCCCTTCGACATTCTTAAATTTATTTGCATTTCACATAATTTCATAAAAGACTTCCTTAGTATTGAGTGAAGGTGCCTGAATGTACCATT